GTTAATTCCCGGAAGTCGCGTGAAGATTTCCGTTTCGAGAAAAATCTCCACAATCGCAACTTGGTTTTATGATTCCCAGAAGACGCCTACTTTCATCCTGGCAAAGCTCGCATGCTTATTAGAGTGACGTTTGCGACATTAGCGAGCTTGCAAACGAGTGATCCTATTGTTTAAGAGTGCTTTGCATATGGCGTAATACCGTTGTCATGTCCATGTCGCTGATAGTTGCATGGATTGCGAAATCTGTGAATTTTTTCTATTTCAAACCCCATGGTTAACGCTACCGTGAGTCAGGACTGACCGCCCAGATGTTCTTCCCAAAATAATCCCTTCCTCTTTGGCTTTTTGCAAAATGGCGTAGAGTAATTAATCGCACCACGTTTTTCTGAAGATCAAATTTAATTAACGGTACTCCTCAAAGTGCATGAGCTTCAAAACTGCAATTCCCATAATGTGGACGATGATGTGACAACAACATATTTCTATATCAGCTATCCAAACTCTACTGAGATAAAATTACCTCTTTATTATTATCCTACGACTGCAACCTAAGACTTCCGAAAGCTATTATGCGAGCAACACTATAGAATTTAAATACGCAGAACAACTATACGATTGCTAACGTTGAAATGGCCAACTTCCTACAAATCTTATACCTATTACTTGAATTTCGAAAAAATTACGTCTACACTTCGGCAACCACCAAACCTAGAACAATGCGCACCCTAAAAACTTTCCGAAATGACGATTGCGGCGTAGGATTCTTCGCTAATTTAACAGTGTAACGGACTCCTCAGGACATTAAGGTATCAAACGCAATCGGAATAACCACTTCGTTTTGTGTTCTTCGAGGAATACTACAATTACATTAATTTGACTATAATTATTCGACCCAGGTACGTTTAATTTGGTCGCACTCGATACCAATATGCGGCAGTGCCAGATGAGGTTGTAGTATCGCTTTTAACAACAAACACTTGCTCGAATTCTACCTTCCACCCTACAGACTACAATGTTAATTGCAATTACTGAACGTAACTACAATATTTGCATTGCTCATGAAACACAAATGTCCTACATGTAGACTAATAATTTCTGATCGATTTTGTCATCACAAGGGTGATGTTTTTTTATTATTCAGTTCATTTAAAACCGCGTTGTGTGTAAAATCAAGATAAAACTAAAACACTTTTCGTGTCACGATAGAATTTAAACGAATCAAACTGCGTACTCAATAGTCAACCATTTTGCAAGCTCCTTCCAATTTAAAATCCAATTTGTTTACAATTTGGAACACGGTAACATTAGTGATGGTAATTGTTTAAGATAAATGGCAGGCAAATCTGTATGAGAGAAAAGTTTTTCATTTACCGTAAAGTTTCTAAACGAATGTCTTGTGCGTGGATAAATTTACATTACCCAAAAATAAATTAATTTTTTTGTTTGTTTTAGGTAAGCCAAACTGGGGGGCTTTATTGAGGCCGCTTAGGTATGTATTGAACGTCGTATTCCTACGAGAACTTAATTATATAATTTTAATAAATACGATTTCTAAATGCATCCACTAAATCTAAATTACCGAAGACAGTATCAATTAATTATAGGTTTATGGGATTGTCGAATATTCTATAAATCCCGATAGACGACGAGGCGCCTTAAAAGATTAGTCATGGCGATAAGAAACAAAGGCAGATATGACGCATTCTTTCCGGGAAATATGACGTGTGTGTTCGAGAACATTATAGAATATTAGGGAGCGTTCAGAAGCGTTCTAGAAGTTTCGAGAAAAATTTGCGATATAAACAAATCGAATTGTGCTTGAGCCAGTTCTAACAGCGTTGACCTAGGGGGAAACAACTTTGAATTTTCGGTGTACACCCCTCTGAATTAATTTGAATTAACGTGAATTAATTTGAATGAATGTGAATTAATTTGAATTAGCGTGTATTAATTTGAATTTGACTGTTTGGTGTACACCAAAAATGGTACTTGTTCCCCTTAAGAAAAATTCGTTTCAAACAAATCATCGATTCCTAAAAAAAATTGCCCTTATAAATCCACAGAAAATTCGCTTCAGAAAATTTGGATGCGCTTAAAAAATCGCCCTTGGAATGTTTCATCACTAAAGACTGTTCACGGAAAAGTTTCTCACTGGAGATTTTCGCTATAGAAAAATTCTCATCTTGAAAGTGTAGCCTCGAAAAACTATTGTGTTTGATCTTCAAAGACTTGTTCCCGGAAAATTTCTTCTGGGAAAATTCCCTATGGAAACATTCGCTTCCGGAAAATGTAGGCTTGAAAAAGTCGCCTTGGGGATATGCGCACCGGACAACCCTTTCCTGGAGTAAATTGTATAACAAATTTTTATCCTGGAAATTTAGCCTCGAAAAAATCGCCCTTGGAATATTAGACATTAAAAACACGTCTCCCCCTGGAAAAATTCTTGTCCTAAATATTTGAACACGATAATTTGTCCCCAGAAAACTTAGCCTCGAAAAAATCTCTGTTGGAAGATTTGACCCACAAACACTCGTCCTGACAAAATTTGCCCTGGAAAATTCGTTTCTCGAAAATCGCCGATTCTTGTGAAAAATCGCCCTTAGAAATCTCCTGAAAATTCGCTAGGAAAAATCGCTCTCATAAAAAAAGGCTCGTAAAAATCTACCTTCGCTAGAATACTTGCGTGAATAATTCCAGAAATTTTGATGCGCTCTAAAAATCGCCCCTGGAATATTTGACTCCTAAAGACTTGTCCGAAAAAAATATACGAGACAAATTCGCTATGAAAAAATGGCTTTTTTAAAATGCTTCCGTGCAAGATTCAACACGTAAATTCATACAGGGAATATGAAAATTTCACCCCCAACAATTTTCGGGGGGGTTCTTCCTGGAAAACCTCTTTTCTAAAAAATTCGCCTACCGAATAAAGTCGTCCTTGGAATATTTGACTCCAAAAAACTACAAGGAAAATTGTTCTGGGAAAATTCACTATGGAAAAATTCTCTTCCGAAAAATTTACCTACCGAAAATGTAGGCTCCCAAAATTGCCCTTGAAACATTCGTTCAGAAAAGGAAATTCATCTACAGAAAATATTGAAAAAATCCTCTTTCGAATATTTGGTCCCCAAAAAATCGTCAAAGAACAATTTGCGTTGGAAGTTTATGCCCTAGAATACTCGCTTAAAAAACTCGCCCCGGAAACTTGCGTGGAAAACGTGTCTCCAGAAACGTAAAAAAATCGCCCTTGAAATATTTGATCCGCAAAAATTGTCCCCTCAAAATTCGTCTTGCGAATATTTGTCGTGGAAAAATTCATTTCCAGAAAATTCGCATAGGGAAAATTTAGCATCCAACAAAATAGGCCTTGGAATATTTTCGTCTCCGAAAAATTCGCCCTGGGGAAATTCTCTATGGAAAAATTCTCGTCTTGAAAATTTGAGATTGATAAAATTGCTCTTGGAAAATTTTTCCCTGGTATACTTGTGTAAAAAATTTGTCCCCAGAAAAAATCCGCCGTTCAAATAATTTTACTCGCAAGCTCTAGTCCTGGTAAACATTTGCTTTGGAAAAATGCTACATGGAAACAACTTTGACTGTTTGGTGTACACCCCTCTGTGTTAATTTGAACTAACGTGAATTAATTAGAATAAACGTGAATTAATTATAATTAACCAGAATTAATGTCAATTAACTTGATTCAATTTGAATTAACGTAAATTAATTTGAATTAACGTGAATAAATTTAAATTTACGTGAATTAACTTGCATAAACGTGCATTAACATGAATTTACGTGAATTATTTTGAATTTGAATTTTTGGTGTTCACCAAAAATGGTACTTGTTTCCCCCTAGGTGTTGACTATCCCTCGGGCAACGTTAGAGTAAATATTTGAATACATTAACCAAAGTGTCCAACAACTGTGCTTGATAAATTAATTTTTTTAAATTATGAATTATTGTGATTATTGTTTAGTGCTCCGTTAAATTGATCCACCACTGCTTTTAAATAAATGACATCTGGTTACCAATTTCGGAGATGTTTAATTTTGCGGGAAATTCAAACTTTCCACCAGAGATTGGATGAGATCAGAGCTTTTAAGAAAAGGAAACCGCACTCTTCAATATTTTTGGAACCGTTTCCGGTCGAATCCTCCATATACTTTGAGACATAAGACCCTTGTCAATGTAATCGTTGAACTTTTTTTGAAAAAGTTCAGCAAATTCTGGAGATCTACCTATCCATTTTACTTTCCATTGGGCGAATATTTACTCTTCCTTCTACATGAGTCCAGTTTCCCATCGTTGCCTTTCTTGACCGTAGTTTCTTGAAGAATTTTGATAGCAATTTCATCTTCTTTACTTTTTGTTGTTGGAGATGGTTTCACTTCAAAAAATTCAAGAGAAAATATTCTTGTTCAGTGGTAGAGAGTCGGGCTACATAGCCGTGAGGCCGAGTTGTCGAACCTGGGCTGAGGTAGGAATTTTTCATTTGTGGCAGAAATACGTATTTCCTTGGATCAGTTTGGAGCATTCTGTCGGCTACTCCGACCTAGGTTTTAGGGACAATAAATAAATAAGTAAATAATTTCTTGACTCAGGGTCAAACTGATTAGCAATATCAAATGGGTCGTCAACTGCATACCACCCTAGTAAATTTCTTATCGCTACAGTGGTTATCACAGGCACCAGTTCCAATATTTCACGTGCGGTGACGTTGTTCACTGATATTGCTTTCATTATTCTGAAAAATTGCGAGGACGTCGCTTTAATTTTCTAATAGGCTTCTTTTGTCCTGGTCCCAGGTTTTATCTTTTATCCTGGGTTAAGTAAAAGTCAAATAAATACATCTACTATAAAACATTAAAAAAAAAGCTTACAGGGTGTTTTTTTTGGTAGGTCCAAAGTTGCAAAACTTCATTATTAAAAAAATCTCACTTTTTTTTAATGGAACACCCTGTACATTTTTCTGTCATCTTTTAGCTCTTCCAAAAACCTTCAACTTTTGATAATCGGGGAAAAAGGTCAAGTGATTAACGTGATAACTTCTACGATAGGAGTTGTTTGTATAAATATCTACAAATAAGCGATCAAGACATCAACCAAGATGAAGGCTTTCTTACGTTTTGCATTATATTGGTGCGTCACTCAGGTGAGTGATATTTGACATTTGCTCCAGAACACCCTAATCAGCCGATCCATTAGGTGCTCTCTGCGGAATTCCCCGAAGAGCTTTTGGAAGAACACGATTATGAATGTTTTAAAAAGCTAAACCTCGATAAAAACACATTCTCGTCATACTTCGACGATAGGTTAAGGTTGGTCCATCTGGACGAGACCGGAATTAAACTTTTAGAATGCGTACTTAAGGACGGCAACTACTTCACCCCCGAGGGTAAACTCAACAAAGAGCTGATGGTCAAAAGGATAGCGAAATGGCTCAAATTTATGGTTAAGTGTGATCCTGAAGGAAAGGACTGGGCAGCTTTGGCTGCGGAATTTTATGAACACTGTGACAAGATAAAAGGTGACAACGGAGTGGAACTGACGAAAAAATGGAATAAGTGTCTTACAGACAAAGCTGATACTATCGAATAATAATAACAATTAAGTTACTCAATGTTATTGTTTCTTTGAATAATGTTTAATGATTATATTTTTGTACTATTAACTTTAGTTTACAATAAACAACAATACATTACTAAAAGGGTGTGATCCTGAAGGGCCCAACATAAAAACTTCAATTATGGATGTGTGTTAGCAAATGGCGTTAGTCCACAATGTAACACTTTAATTCCGGTCTGAACTACTCATCATTGTTCCATCAAAGTACATCCTTTATTCTGAGGTTTGGCGCTTCCACACATTGCTTCTGGGAATCCTGATGTTTATCTACCCAAAATTTACAAATAATCGCAAGATGTTAATCGCTCCTTTGGGCCTTTTACCAAGTCTAGTTTCTTAACTTATTTGTAGCTTTCATCACCCGTCAATGGAAAACTTCTTAATAAAAAAATTCCAGGAAAGATAAAACCTGTTTACTATCAATGCCTGACCTTTCTGAAAGCAAGGGACAAACAAATTGTTGTTCCGTCAGATCTATAAATTTCCAAATGGAAAATTTTACATTTACTTATTTTTCCTCCGCAAAACTTTCTGTATTTTTTCTGTCTACGTTTAGCTTTGTTATCAAAGGCGTTTAGTTATTTTTAGAATTCTGAATCAAATTTGGTGGATGATTTGCTTAAAAGCCTATCAAGAAGCAATCATCTAAGTCATCGGCCTACGTTTTGACGGACAGACGAACAAGACACGCCCACAATATAATTTTGCTATATATATTATTTACTAAAAGTAAAAAGGCATGGGACGCTCGAATGCTCCTCTGGTAGTTGGCTGTAGTTTCCTGTTTCTAGCAACGTAGGACCATTGATAAGTTCGCACAGGCAAAAAGTAGGTATAGGTATTTCCTAGGGTATTTGTGGAACGTAGGAAAGTTTTGAATGAAACGGTCGCTTTATGAACACCTCATAATTTTGGCAGTTAGATCCGGACCAAATGTTTGGGCACTTTCTTATGCTGACTGCGTGTATGGTGTATGGTTAGGGTTCGAACCTCGCCTGTTCGATTAAGAGTCGACTGTTTAATGCTCTAGGTGACAAAGGGCTTTCATATAATGTGTGGTTAATTATTGAAGACAAAAAAAATGCTGATGATTCGGTTTATGAATGTTTATGTAGGCTATTATTTACGAGAACCTCAAGAAAGAATTTGAAGTTTGTCAATTATATAAAAAATGAAAATGAATTGTCAGTTGCAGGTCAATTTGGGTGTAAAAACGTTCAAAAGCTTGACCTGGATACTCCAGAAGCGGTTTGCTCTGATATTCCTTATGCCGTGTTATTTTCCATGATATCAGCAACCGATACTTTCAAGTGAATGGCGCATTACGGTTTATTTCTAGGGGGAAACAAGTAATAATAATAATCTACACCAAAAATTCAAATTCAAATTGATTCACGTTAATTCAAATTAATTCACGTTAATTCCCGTTAATTCAAATTAATTCACGTTAATTCCCGTTAATTCAACTTAATGCACTGTCATTCAGGTTAACACGTTAATTCAAATAAATTCACGTTAATTCACGTGAGCTCGTTAATTCACGTTAGTTCACGTTAATTCAAATCAGTTCACGTTAATTTACATTAGTTCACGTTAATTAAAACTAATTCAAGTTAATTCAAATTAATTCATGTAAATTCTCGTTAATTCAAATTAATTCACGTTAATTCAAATTAATTCACGTTAATTCAAATTAATGCACGTTAATTAACTTTATTTCACGTTAATTCAAATTAATTCAGGGGGGTGTAGACCAAAAATTCAAAGTTGATTCCCCCTAGTTTTATTTTCTCCACTCACATAATCCCGGAAACGCAACTTAAAACCTGGCAATTTTTAAAAATGCTTCGATTTGCATAAAAATTGAGGATTAAGTTCCACTTATATATATTATATATGTTTTTAGTGGTGAAAACTACCCCTTTATTCCAAAACTCATAAAACTACATATTAAAGCTTAAGGTGAGTAAAATTTAGTATGGATGAGTTAAGTAATGATTGTTAGAGGCTTTGGAACATTATTTCAGAAAATTTCAACTCTTAAAAATCAACCCTTATTGTGGTTTAATAAAAAATTACCTTCAAAAACTTATTAATTTATTATTGACGACAGTTGTTCAGTGTGCATTTTGAACAAAGTATGGTGTTCAACCTCCTGATAGATGGTGTATCGAACGTTGATATAAATTAACATTAAACCGTTCATAGAGAGGTGTTTGTGCAAAGGGAAAGGTTCCGGGCTAAACTTACTTGAATTCATCTTGATATAACCCACAGTTCTATTTTGTTTCTTTAATTAAAATTCGGATTCAGTTTCTATTGTGTAGTATACGAAATAGGTCATGCTCCGGTTAGAATTTTTTGAAAAAAACTGTGATTCGTATTTTAATCATAAGTCCTTTATTTTTAAGATAGAAAGTGCATTAAAAACCATTTGGTAGGTAGGCCTACAAGGCTATTTACATCAAATCCCTCAGTTTTAAAATGGGGTAACCTTAAAGGGCTAAAACAGGGTAGTGCTCCCGTATAAATACACGTTGCAAACGTCTATATCTCACTTACTTTTTTTCGTGCAGAAAATTCCCGGCGAGGAAAACGTTTAGAATGAAAAAAGCTATACAATTGGTTGCTGTAGCATTTTTTACGTATCTTCAGTTGTTTTGCTGTTATTTTGAAATTCGTTTTTAACGTTTAGCTTCAATTATTTCAAAATTAAGTTTTTTTAAATTGGTCACACTTCTAGAATGTATTATAATACGTAATTAGACAAAAACTGGAAAAGGGGAAAGACTCATTTTAATTAGGGTGGTAATTAGAGGGTTGCTAGCGCTGATTTTTCGCTGAAAAAAGTACGAATCTTGCTTATTAACAAGCTCCTAGCGAGTTTATAATTTTGCGGTGTCTGTCCGTCTGTCCGTCTCTCCGTCCGTCCGTCCGTTAGCACGATATCTCGATAACGAATGGACCGATTACGATCAAATTTAGTAGATCGATTCTTTATCAAATTTGTAGATCGGAGTTAGCGAATTGGCAATGTAGCCCAAAAAATATGGAAGGCTCTTTTGACATCTCCGTGAGTTATGAACCGAATTGCATGAAATTCTATATGCGCATAGCTTTAGCCATATAAAACGCAATTCCAAAAATCGATCAACATTCACAGTGCCCTTTTCGCATCTCGACAATTTATAAACCGAATTGCAAAATTTTTATTTATTAAATAAAATTTGATACATAGCCACTTGGAATAAAACAAAATTTAACGCCAGTTACAAAATTTGGTATTGTGCATGCGCAGTGCCAACTTTCTTATTTATGGAGGGATTTAAATGAAATTTGATACATAGCCACTTGGAATAATAGCAAAGTTAACACCAGTTTCAAAATTTGGTTTTGTATAGGATGTGCAGTGCAAACTTTCTTATTTATGGAAGCAATTACATGAAATTTCATAAATATACACTTTAAATAAAAGCAAAACTAACAGGTTTCAAATTTGGTTTTGCACATGCTATAGCCATACCCAGGAGCTCGTTTTCTATATTTCTTTAGTTTATTTCGAGGTTTATTTTCATTGTAACTCACTTAATTTTTATAATAAAGTTTGCTTAAAAAAAAATAAAAAAGGTTTTTTTAAGTTTTTCTCGCAAAATGCATAGCTTTGCCGTTATTTGACGGAGAAAGATAGCCTTTAACAAGCCACGACTCGGTTTGTATTCGTGATACAGCAATTATTAAAAAAAAAAACTATGTTTTTTTAATTTTTAAAGGATACAATTCTGTTCTCCGCAGTTGTTTTATAAAATGCATACTTTTTCAGGTTTTGCGAATAAGTAATTAAAACCAGTGACCTTTCTATGAAAAACTTATGTCGCGAATAACTGGAGAAGTATTAGCCTTCCAAAAAAATGTATAGAACACTTTTTTGTTTAAAATTAATTTTTCTATCTATTCACGCGTTAAAATTACAATAAAAAATTGCCACCCCTGAAAAGGAGTGCCAACCGCCCCCGGGGTGAAAGCGCCCTTTGATATTATATAGATTTTGATCCTTGGGCTATTCCTAGGGCTATTCCATACCTACTGTCAATATTTCAAGTTAATCGATTCGTTTTGAAAAAATTGCTAGGCCAAAACCTTCATATCCTGGACTAAGAGTGCAGTGCTTGTGAAAACCAAGCCTTAACTCTCCTCTTGGTTCAGTTACAGGACAGGTCTTCGTTTGACTATTATGGAGTTGCAGCCCACCGCGCCGCCAGGCCAGTAGACTACACATTATTGACTAGGCTAATTTGATTTTTAATTCCGCTGGTGGACCCTTGGTTTATTCAGCGGAAGAGGGATGAGAGAAGCAAATTATTTCAGTTAGTAAAAGAGGGATGCTGAATATAAAAGTTTGAGGACCGCTGCTTCAACATTGACACTTATTTAAGTAAACTCCAATTTGTTTCTATGTTTAATGGTTTTTCTTGATTTGACTTTGTGTAGTTAATAGGAAAAAGAGACCTTAAAGCTTTGGTGCTTGCAATCTGAATTGTCCATAAATTTAATTTGGTTAGTTTATGGCCAGTTTTAGGATTACACCAATTCCCCACTGTATGACCTTTACGGGAGCAACAGGTCACGATGTGATGGGTACAAACATGATAAGTGGACCCTATAAATTGACCAACATCTTGATGCAGCTGTCAGTTACTTGTGTAAGTAAACGATATCGCCATGTTAAGAAAGACTGTGCTTTGCTTGTTCATCGCGTGCTTCGCATCGGTAAGTGATTATACCATCGTTTCGCACTTGTAAAACTCTATAATACTGCTAGGTGAGATCCATTGAAATTCCGGATGGACTAATAGACGAAACAGCTGCTGCCTGCATGAAGGAGACAAACGTCGATAAGGCGAAGCTCTCCGAAATGTTCGACGATGATTTCCATATGAAATACCCTCACGATGTGACATCAAAGTTTATGGAATGCGCCGTAGGCAAAGTTGACTATTTCCACGAAGATGGCGGGTTTAACAAGGATGTAATTACTAAAGACCTTGCAAAGTCGCTTCCAAACTTTGTAGCGGATAAGATTGATAACGAGAAGGCGGCAGAAATGGCGAAGGAAATCTACCATGAATGCGGCACTCCGAAAGGGGAAAATTCAATTGAGAAGGTGGCCAATTTCCACAATTGCGTAATGGTTGAATTGAAGAAGAAAAAAACAGCCGCGTAAAAGAACCCGTATTTTAGTAGTAAAAATAAACTTATACACGCAAAAAAATTGTAACCTTTATTTTCCCCCTGGTAGTTTTAGTGTGTAACAGTTGCTATTAGGCATCAAAGGTACAAAGAATATCTCTGATTATCCTCCCAGGAATAGATTTCCTGGAAGATACCACGTAACCGCATTAAGTTGTAGTAAATGGTGGCGAAGAGTACTTACCACTTTCACTTTTTTACAAATTGTCCAACGCGCCCCTTTATCCATAGGAGCACAAGGGTGTTTTTTACGGTATTTACTCTAGCATGTGGTGACAACTTCCAACAATTTTTGTACTTGAAGGGGAATCTGGAAATGCTTTCACTCACTAAAACCCCCTTCCCACCCATAATCAAAATTTAGGACCCGTCATGTCACCGAGGACCACGAAATGTGTTACCTAATATCTGCTCTTTAGTCACAATTATTGTTTTTCACATTTGTTCAAACTATCCTCTCAACTATTTTTTTGACGTCCAGTGCCTCCTTTATCCGAAATGACACTCTCCATTCGGAACTTTTCCACAATCCGCGCACCTATCCACATCCCACATATGAAAACGGTGTAGGTTTCCCTCATTTTCTGCTGAAAACTGAGTGATTAGATGGTTCTAGAGATAGTTCAACTCCCCATGCCTTCTCTAGTTCCGTAGTGTGAGGTCTGGAATTAACAGTTTCGTCCATGATTGGCACATCACGCCCATTGTCCTGCCTCGCCCTTTCCTCGTTCCAGGCTTTGACCGTTTTCTAAGTCTCAGGCCTAGGTGTGACCTCTGCGATCCTCTTATAAAGATTTTGACCCGTCATATTCTGCCAAAATCAAGTCATAATGGACCATGCACCATTTTATTAGATTGAGGTGAACTTGCATTTCGTTGGCTTTGCGTATTTTGCAAGTTTGGTAGTAGAAAGTATACAGTGTGTCTCCATTATAGGGTTGATCATTCCAACATTTTAGTAAATCTAAATTTTTAAAAGTTTGCAAGTCCTTAGTAAAACTAGCGGGCACCTGGATTGCGTCAACGACGTAACTTAACACCGGAATTGTATGAAATTTCTCGGTTGCGTCATTGAACTACATTGATGATAGCGTGAAGGAAATATACGGGCACTTTAATCAACTTTTCGCAACTGTAATGTTCATAACAACAGATTAGGTTTTTGTTTTCTTCGAAATTCATTATAATTAACAACTGTAATTTGCGGACTACACACGGATTCCAGTGGTAGTCAAAATCCCAATGAATGCCAGAATCTTCCCTGAATGACCCCCACTTAATCTTACTTAATCAATGATCACCTACAAAATGCCGAATGGTACAACCTGTCGGGGATAACAAGAGTTTATATTATCTTAATTAGATCTATACACGTTGTCCATTTTTCGAGTGCCACTATGGGGATCTCGGTTATCTTAAGAGAGACATTATTTGGTTAAATGGGGGCTAAGTATTTTCGTGATGAATAATAACCTGAAAATATTTTAAAATATCTTCAATAGTTTTGAAAATATCGCCAAAAAAGAAAATTTCTGATTTTCGTTTTTAATTTTTTCATAGTAAACTAATCGTTTACATTTCTAATTAACACATTATTCAGACTCTTTTTAATGGAGATTTCGAATATGGCATCCCGTTTTCAATGACTTTTAAGAGGACGGAGAAACACGTGGCAACTTTAATTTTTCTTATGGGCGCCGTTTTGGATTTTGACATTTTGAGATTACGTCTTTTTTTCTCTTTACAACGATATATCACACATGGTGGTTCAGTAACACATTTTTCCTAAAATTACAATTTTCCTTTTCTGCGAAGAGTGCTTTGGAAAAACAAAACGTTCTTTTGTTGTGAACACAAGGTTGACTTGTTTCAAGTAGTGTGATTTACGTTTGTGCTAGATTTATTGCGAAAATATAATTTATTCTTATGTAAGTATTTTGTTCTAATTTGAATTATAATTTTCTTGCAAAACGAATGTTCAATTCTATTCAGATGAAAATCGAATTTTCTCAACACAACTAGTTCCCTGCCAACGCTCCAACTAGACAGATGGATCAAACTGTCAAACTTTTGTTCACGATAAAAGAACGTTTTGTTTTTCCAAAGCACTCTTCCCAAAAAATTAAAAAGTGTCTGAATAATGTGATAATTAGAAATGTCTAATATGATTAGTTTACCATGAAAAAATTAAAAACGAAGGTCAGACATTTTTGTTTTTTTTCGATATTTTCAAAACTACTAAAAATATTTCTAATTTCCTTTCAGACTATTATTCAGCACGAAACTTCGCAACTTTGTCCCTATTTAACCAACTCTCTATCTCTTCTTCAGGTAAGCGAGATCCCCATAGTGGCACTCGAAAAATGGACACCGTGTATACATGACCATAATTGCTAATGTATAAAATACGCGGTATGATTTTACCACAAACTTGGGAAAAGCAAGCACATTTAAACTTTCGTGGGATTTTGATTTAAGGCCCTAGAGCTAGCGTAAGTGGTGGATATTATACGATTCAAAGGAGTTAATAGTTAAAAATGGTTGATTTCCGTAATAAAGCACCATTTTGGGGAGTGTGTTAATCAAAAGAAGTAATAGTAGGGACGCATTACTTACTGAGAGAAAAGGCAGGAGATCCTTCGTTGTAAATTAATAACTGCGATTACATTCGACCTTACGACTGACTCTCGTTTTCGATAACACAGTTTGGAACGAAATTATCAGAAGTGCCCAGAATAGGTTGTAGTATCGTTTCTCATCCTTCAGATGGCAAATGTCACTTGAAATGTTTACTGGAAAACCTCCCACCACGGATTTATTGAAAACCACCGATTAAAGGAAAAAACACCGAGACACGTCAAAAGACTTGTCAAGGGGACAACTTTTTCATCAAAAACTACTTCACCCCCTTTCACCCTCTGCCCCACAGGGTCGTTCCCTTAAAAATGTTAAATGACAAGTGGTATCAAGTAATAGCTTGTTTGAAAGGCCTTACGAAGTCCTTTATTTCGACGTTTGATTTTTTAAAATCGGTCGATACGTTTTCGAGAAAATTAGGAAAATCTTTATCTTTATCTTTGTCCAATCATTTTCAATCATTTTTGTCCATTTAACCAACTCTCTATAATCGAGATTTCAGTACAACCTGTATATCTAATGACCATTAATTGTACACATAATTATTGTTTTGAAACCTTTTATCCAACAATGATGCAGGTGAAAATTGCCTTTAAACTATTAATCTATAAATGCGGATTATGTACCTACTTATAAACATTACATTACAAATATTACAGCTCTTTAACTAGTACACTTATACCCCCCACTAATTTTTGCCCTTTGCCCCTCGTATAATTCACTTACATTTTAATTTTACCACTTCATGAATATGCATGAAGTGTTTCAAGGAATGTTGTACCGGTTTAGGTGAAAATCCAAGAACTCCCCATAAAATATATAATAATGAAGAGGTTGTTTACACGACATGTTTCGGAAGTTCAATGTGTGTTCAGTGAAAGAGGATATAACAATAAATACATCCTAAAAAAAAGGTTGTGAGAACTAAAGCCTAAGTAGTAATGAAGAGCACTTACCTAGGGGGAATAAAATTTAGGCAGGTTGTTGGCCATTGAACATCCAACGTTGGTTCTATAAACCGCAGGCAATAATTCCAACACCTAGTAACAATCCGCGTTTTCGTGGCCAATCGGTGCCGAGTAGTGCCGTTTAGGCGTTCGCTCGTACTAGACCAAATATTAACGGATCAGTCAACGAAAAAGGTACGCCTGCGACTTCACACTTACCGGGAAATATAAAGTGGCATACAAATCCAATCCACTACGAACGGGAGCAAGAATATCTTCTACTACTGTATCAATGAAAATAAAACCAATGATGAATCCGATGATTACACCAATAGTTTGCAAAGTGTGGATGAAGAGACAGAAGATCACAACTCCGATGACCTATTTTACGTTATGTAGTTGTATTGTTTATATATTTTACATATTTTCACTAAATGATAGTTAAACTTACATTTTAATTAAAAACGAATTGCAGACTGTGAGTCCGACACTAACCTTGGGTAATATCAAACCACGTTAACTCTGGCTGGTTAGGGAATACACCTAATTATGATGTTTTACTTGATCTCGTCTCTGTTCTACTTCAAACACCCATCTGTGTGGCTCAGTGGTAGAACGTTGGGCAAAATAGCCGGGAGGTAAGGTGTTCGAACCTGAGTTGAGGTGAATTTTTCATCTGCGGCAGGATGGGAATTTCCGTAGATCAGTTACGAGCATTTTCTAGGATAGTCCGAATTAGGTTTTCAAGCAGTTTTCCTAATTCATACCGGAGTATAGAATGACTTAAGACCCTCTGTAGGGGTACATCTAAAAAGCATTATGCGAGTCGCTCTGTAATTGGGCGAAAGCCTGTGGATGGCCCAGAACAAGAGAGGGACAATAAATAAATTAAACTGGCGGACGATTACCTCTAACATAAATATTTATTAAGATGCTAGCCGTCGCCATTCGTCTAATCGTCGTAGCTACCACGCGGGAGGGCCGTGTTCGATTCCAGGTCGATGAAGAATTTTTTAATCTGATGTATAGCTTAGGATTTCTACATTTCCTCGGGCTGATGCTGATCGTTGACGTAGGATATCGCACAGGCACGTAGGGGTTGTACCTTAAACCCCTACAGGCACGACGTAAACTCCAGGGTTCTATTCTAACACTATCATCTAGGAGGTTTGGGTAAGTGGTATAATATACCGAGTAATTCTAATTATCGCTGTTTCACTACAACTCAAGCACTAATTTTATATTTTCATGTTCTCCACTTGCTTTTTCCTTGCGATCATAGGTATAACATTGTAGTTAGGAGTCTGGGCCCGTGTATCATCGATTTGTTAATCAATTTCGGACATGCGCTAGACCACTACAAGATGTAACAAGTGTGCGAAAACTATAGAAATCTTATCTGAAATTGATTCACAAATCAACGACGCAGGGCCACAGATTCCTGACTACAATTTTATGTAGGCAGTCATACGGACCTAACCTGAAAGCAACACAAAAATCTGTTCATTAAAGGATTTTGGTTTTATTTTTAAATACCACACAACTCTGTCTCAAAAACCAATATTTTGCACAAGAATTATAGCCAGTCTTGTAAGATAATCGTGGTCTTAAAAAGGGGTCAAGTGTGATAATTCAGTGATTACGTGTGATAACTTCTGCTTATTTGTGATACGAGTACCCCAAATTTGCCTAAATATCTATAGTGGTCAAAATATCAACAACTATGAAAACTTTCTTACGATTTATACTTCTATGCTGTGTTGTTGAGGTGAGTGGCTAATACACATACATATCTGCAAACACCTAATCAACCGATCCACTAGGTGCTTTCTGTAGATTTTCCCGAAGATCTTCTGGATGAACACGCTTATGGATGTTTTAAAAAGCTGAACCTCAGCAAAGATATATTGTCCTCATACTTCGATGATAGATTAAAGATGGTCAATTTAGACGAGACCGGGGTTAATCTTTTAAAATGCCAACTTAAGGACGGCAACTACTTCACTCACGAGGGCGAACCCAATAAGGAACCGATGGTCAAATGGATAGCCAAATGGCTCAAACTTATAGCTAAGCGTGATCCCCAAGGGAAAGACTGGGCAACTTTGGCTGCGGAATTTTATGAACACTGTGAAAATATAAAAGATGACAACGAAGCGGAACTGATGAAGAGGTGGAATAAGTGTCTTACAGATCAGGCTGACAATATAGTATAATAATTAAGTTATTGTATCTTACTGTTTTACTGAATAGTGACTATATTTTTGTGTTATTAACTTTGGTATAAAGTAAAGAATACCTTCGAGGTAGAATCAAGGCGCGTTTTTTTTAAATGGTATCCCTTTGAGGCCTAATCCATACGTCATTAAATCGTCACTTTCTCTCTCTTCAAATACATGTTCGTCGCAATCTTTACGCCTCAATTCTTTCCTTTTCTTGCTCTCTGGCTACCTCGTCACAAAACATACATAATGTATTGAAGTCGAACGAACTGGATCTTTGCTTACGAGGAGATGTCGACGGAGATCCTTCCATACGACTTTTTTTATACGATGCGATATTGAATTTCTTGGTATCTTTACGACATTCAACATGTACCGTTACAGAATTTACGCTTAATAAGTATTCCATGTGTCCATCGTCTCTGCCAACACTTGCATTTCTCACAGTTTCTAAACCGCAATCACAATAGCACCGTCGGCAAGCAGCGCTTTATTAATGAAACAAATTTAATAATTTATTATAAATGTTTCTTCAAACCTGGGGCAGCGAATAACACGTTAGCACCCCTCAATACTTAGTTTGTAGCAGAATTCTAAAAGACACAAAGCTATATATGTGGTGGATATTTTCAGGTAGGTATGGACCCTTTCTCTGTAGCCGCCTCGCGCTCTTTAGTTGTGTCTCACTACGGAAAAACCAAGTGAGAGCAAGCGAGACGGGAAAAATGTGCGTGAGAGGCGACTACGAAATACGGGCGGATGTTTCGTAAACCGAGGACTCCAATTTAAAATTTATAAGATAAAATGTATAATGTATATTATATTAAATTTTTTAAAATTTAATATCTTTAATATCCTACTACACAGGGCAAAGATTAGAATTTTTTCGTATAACTTAAATTGCAAAATGAAATTGCAGGGAAAATAAATGTCAGTGTACGTATATTTGAAGTAGGTGTAAATAAATAGATAAACAAATAAATAAATAAATAAATAAATAAATAAATAAATAAATAAATAAATAAATAAATAAATAAATAAATAAATAAATAAATAAATACATAAATAAATAAATAAATAAATAAATAAATAAATAAATAAATAAATAAATAAATAAATAAATAAATAAATAAATAAATAAATAATTGTTGCTATACCGGAAAAAATAAAAATAGATATTTAGTCCAAGAAGTGCTTAAATGAAAACTACATATGCTCCCCAAAACATATTGGAGTAAAACTTTCAAATTTTTTTCCAAATTTTGATTACATTTAACAGGCCAAGGCCGTTATATGGTAACGTCATTAAGTCTATATATGTCAAATAACAGACGTGGTTGAATTGTGTTAAACCGAGGCGTTCTATTTGTCAGTTTGAATTATTTCAAAATTAGTTCTCATATTTTCCGAGGCTCTTGTGGGCTTGGTCCTACTGTAATAGGAATTTCCCTTCATAGCTCTTAGATTACTTGACCGCCTCCTCGACCAATATCATAAATCTTCAATTCGCCAATCATCTTCACAGGTCATTTTCTGCCAAGTTTAAGTAAGCCTTGACGCTCATCTTGGATCAATTAATGTACAGGTCTTCGTTTAACTCCAATTATAGGTAAATTAGATTTATCCATATCTTGGTGTATTTAGCGGAAAGGGATTGAGGGAGGTAATTTCTTTCAGCTAATAAATGAGGGGAGTTAAATACAAAAGTTTGAGGACCGCTGCCTCCAACTGGATTCTGTTTTTAGCGCATTTCCACAAAAAATAAAAAAAATGCGCTATTGTGGCCACTTTGTCCGTCCGTCTGTCCACCCGTCCGTCTGTTCGTCCGTCTGTTATGGTAAAAAATCTGTTTTTAATGTACCATAATTTTATATCTTTACCATTTATTAAAGATCCTCGAGTTCGTTTATAATGTTGTATTGCTGTCTGCCCGTCTGTATGTCCGGCTGTCTGACCGGGTGCAGTTGTGCACAATTATTGTATTTGCGCAATCCAATTTTGTTTTTTTGTTAAGATATTTAAATAAAATTTTGTATGTTGACACCTCAAATAAAGGTCATCAAATAAATTTGTTTTGAGCGTGCGTAATCGGATCCGACTAAAAACACCCAAAACAATTATTGCGCATGCGTAGACCCACATTCGTTATTTGTAAACTAATTTTTCTAAAATTTTAGGGGAGGATCCTTCTTTTAAACTGAAATTGAAGTAGTAGGTCAAAAATTGTCCATAAACTTTATTTTGTGATTTATGGCCAGCTTTAAGATTACAACAATTCCCACTGTATGACCTTTACAGGTCACGATGTGATAAATACAAACATGATAAGAGAACCGTATAAATTGACTAACATCTTAAGGCTACACTGTCAATTGCTTGTATAACTAGGCGATATCACCATGTTCAGAAAGGCTGTGCTTTGCTTGTATATCGCGTGCCTCGTATTGGTAAGTGATTGCCATTTTTGCGCGCTTGTAAAACTGTCTAATACCGTTAGGTTAAAACGATTGAAATTCCGGATGCATTAATAGACGAAGTAGCTGCTGCCTGCATGAAGGAGAAGAACTTCGATAAGGCGAAGCTCTCCGAAATGTTCGACGATGAGTTCCATATGAAATATCCTCACGATGTGACATCAAAGTTTATGGATTGCGCCCTGGGCAAAGTTGACTTTTTCCAGGAAGATGGCGCGTTTAACAGGGAAGTACTTACCAAAGACCTTGCAAAGGCGCTACCAAACTTTCTATCGGATAAGATTGATGACAAGAAAGCGGCAGAACTAGCGAACGAAATCTACCATGACTGCAGTGTTCCGAAAGGAGAAAGTGCTGTAGAAAAGGTGGCCAATTTCCACAATTGCATGATAGTCGAATTGAAGAAGAAAGCAACCGCCGTCTAAAATAACCCGTATTTTATGTGCAAAAATAAATTTATACAAGCAAACAATGTTGAGTCGTTCAATTGCCCCCAAGTATGTCCTCAACCGGTACCAGGTAGCTTTGTATTAGGCAATAGTACAAAAGCTGTCTGTGATCATCCTCCCAGGAGTAGATGACCGGGGAGGACCTGTCATCGTGAATTAGGCATTCCTATTTCATTTAAAGGTTTTTAAATCTCTTACTTTCACATGTGGATTATTTATCAAAAAGGAAACTTTCTTATAAACTTCCTTAACTATCCCGGCTAGCATTTAATAAAAAATGCAAAATTACTTACTGTGTCACTGAAAAATGTCATTCAAATTACTGTAACCTTTTGAATATATTGATTAACAACAAAACTTTCGATGCGCGATCTCTCTTTTCAAATCACATTTCCCTTTTACAAATTTTCCGTAAGAAATTCTCAGCATATTCGTAGCTTACCTTAGAATTGAACAACAAAATACAACATGGCAATAATTTTTACATAAACCCTACGGACCCATGAATTTGTATAATTTTTCTGTTGGACGTCCAATACTTAATTTTTAAATGACAAGTCTATCCTTTATTGCATTGATTTATCCAAATTTCATGCATTCAAAATAATAAAAAAAACATGAAATAAAATTACGATACCGTATAAGTATACTTCAGCTTGCACGTCGGACAATGATGATAATACAACTTGAAACACCCTCCTACATTTACAATGGTCTCAAAGACGAAATAAAGGGAACGTGGTGGAAATACATCTGCCGGCATCAGCAGGAGCGGTGACACGGATGTTTACTCCACAAGCAAAGCAAAATTTTTTGCCACCGTGGTTTCAATGCCACGTCTATTTATAATAGTTAATTAAAAATGTCGCAAATCACAAAAAGATAACGATACTTGCAATAATGCTTATTGATTGTAATGGAACTCTACTTAAAAATTATTTTCCCACCACCCGCAGCAATGGAATTTTTGGAATCGAATTTGCAGAAGTGAATACTATGAACGACAAATCGAATTTTTTGTGATCATTTGATCATAATATGGACTTAAATCGTTATTTTTTTTTTTGCAACATTTTCAATTAACTACATGCGAAATTAGATCACTCACTAGTAGGCGGGTGACACTTTGTAACCCGAAGGCCCAATCTTCAAATGAGTATAACTTTTGTTTGAAAAGTGATTTTAAAAAACTGTTCGACAATTTTGTTCCTTAACTCATCAAGTAGGTATGTACACAACAAATTTCGTGGTATTCTCTCCATTTTCGTTGTCCGGCCAAGAATTGCAGTGGAACTTCTTTTCGAATTTTCAGATTCGCTTTACATGGTACATGGTCATATACCACTAGGGCCTGCTTTTAAATTTTTTTGTTTTGCGGGAAATTCAAACTGTGCCTAATACTTGTGGATCATAAAATTATTATAAAATTACGACAGATGGCCTGCTTCGTGATCCCTGTATTTATATGTCTATGTCCCTACTTGAAAAAGTTCTCTAATACAAAATGTATTTGAAAATGTGGATACAGATTTTCCTATTGGGACGAAACTCGATACTTTACTTGGATATAGACACAAACACTATCTAATAGTGCACAGTCATGATGTTTTGTTCATAAGGTCAAACGATTTAGTTAGGAAAGAGGAGTGTGATAAGCGTTGTTGCCCAGTCTTGCACCATAATCTGTAAAACTTAGATTGGTAAACAGTCTAAAACTATATAAACACACAGGAAAGCTTTTACTGTAGATAAAAGTACTTGAACTATTAAACATGAAGGTCTTGTGTTTTGTGCTTTGGTGTGTCATGCAGGTGAGTTGGTTGACAACCGCTTTTTGCAATGACAAAATGTCTCTATTAGGTGCTGTCAAGGGACGTGCCCGACGAATCACTAGATGATTACGCGTTTGAATGCTTTAAAGAACTAAACATCGATAAAGCGAAGTTCTCGTCGTACTTCGATGACGACATGAGGATGCGCGATTTGGATGAAACCGGAATTAAGATAATGAAATGTGGAGTTGAAAAGAGCAACTTTTTCAACCAGGACGGAAACGTTAATAAAGATGTGATGATTAAATCCGTTACCAAATGGCTTAAACTGCGGCTTACTAAGGGCGGGGATAAGGATTGGGAAGCGTTGGCCGAGCAATTTTGGGGAAAATGTGAGGATGGCTTGAAGGGGGAGGACAAAGTGGAGGTGATGAAAAATTGGAATCACTGTTTTACTGATGAAGTTATTCTTTATAATAAATAAACATGCTTTTTCTGTCTAATAAATAATGTTTAGACTTCCGCCAGTGTTGTTCTTTTAAATTTTAGGTTAGGAATCTGAGGCGTAACTCATAAGATTCCCAGAAAGTCAAACAGAAGGGACTTTGGATTATTTAATAATTAATGGCTAAAACTTTATACAGGATGTCCCGTGACTCGATGAACGTAGCTTAATACCATATTGCTCAATTTTAAATCGAAATTTCCTTATACACTTTGTCCAAAACTCAATCGTTAAGAAGTTATGGGCAATATTAAATTTAACAATAAATCAATCTAGTAGGCCATGAAATTATTTTGTCACACTGTTATGGTGACATTTTGTCGTTGGAATATTAGATATTTTTATATTCAGGAAACCTCCGCTGTTATTCCCTCACTGCTGCTCTTGCATATCCGTCCCAGTATCCGTAAATAAAGTGAATATCCGCATAATTATTCTTGATCTGAAAACCACTGTCGCCGTAACAATATGACAAAACAATTACATGGCCCACTACATTGATTTATTGTTAAATTGAATATTGCCCTTCTCAACTATTGAGTTTTGGACAAAGTGTATAAGGACATTTCCACTTGGTGTTAAGCTATGTCCATCGCGGCACGGGACACCTTGTATAAACATACGTCCGCAAACGCTTTTCTATCGATCTACAGGGTGTTATAATTTTACGATCAGAACTAATAAAAAAAATGAAAAATAGGTTATCGCTTTAAGGCGACTGACTTTAGCTCACTTTTCATGAATTAATCAGTACCTCCCGAAAAGTAATATAACGGACTATTTATGTGTAGGTACAAGGGAAAATAAGTTATGTGATAAAATATTCTTATAAAATCTTATAAACTTAACATTGCGCAGTCTGCGCTTGAGCGCACCTGAAGCTTACAATATGCTATATGTTTGCCTTTACTAGAAGAATCTTTGGTTAAAATTTCAAAAAAAATCTCTATAAATAGGAAAGTTGACATTGCGAAAATTAATCCTCAAAATTTTTCTTGTTTGATATGCCAGAGCTATAAGCTACCGAATGCAAAAAAAACGAACTAAATATCTAGAAAACTATACGAGTAGTTAGGAACTTCCTGTAAATTTAACTATAGTAAATAGGATGAAGTAGTGGTACTCTATTTCATAATAAAGTTACGTTACGACAAATCAAAATCATAAACGAAGATCTCGAGTGCATTTTAGTTAAACCTGACCTCGCAGGTGATCAAGTGATAGGTACGATTGCAGCTAAAGAAACCACGGAACTAGAAAAATCATCCCCCGAGTAATCGACATAGACTAAATAAACCCCTAGAAGGGATCTAAAAAAGCGGCAGAGCACCTCGGCGTCATTCGATTTGCCCAATTTTCAATAAGCTTGTTACATGTGGTATGCAGGCTGATTCAAATTCGAGGGCCACGATGGGGATCTCGGGAACTGTAAGAGATGGATAGGTAGAATAAATTTGGCAAAGTTCTGTGTTTTGATGCTTAACAAAATGTAGTTTTGAAATTGCAAAAATTCCGACTACTTTCGGAGATATCCGGAAAAACGCGAAATTTATTTTGCGAAATGGTTTTTATTTTTTACTGAACTTATTTAAAAATGTATTTCGAAATAAATGACACATTATATATGGCCAATTTTTTCCCTCTACTCTTTTAAATTTAATGTTTTATCTCCAGTGTCAACCATCATCAACTTTGTTTTTTCTTATGAAAGTAATTTTTACTTTTTGGCATTTGATGTAGAATTTTTTTGTAATTTAAAAAATGTGAACATTACTATCTTTTATAGTGCTATTAATTTGTAAAAACGCAAGAAACTAAGTACGCGTACGTACACTGCCCAAGACAATGTTTTCTAGGCGAAAAAGAAGATATTTTAACTATATTTAAAAAAAATTGTGAATTTTGAAATCAGAAAACAATTCTCTATCAAATTACACAAAAAGTAAAAGGCATTAAAAGGTTCCTTTTTTAAATCGATCCACCTTAGGGCCACAAATTATATAATAAAAATAATTCCGGAAAAATTAGCTTAAAAAAATAAAATTTTGAGGCATCTTTAAGCTACTTTTTCATGAAAAAAAATCAAACCAACGCATTTAATTTTTTTGAGAAAATTAACCATTTCTGTCGAAATGTCGAAAAAAACCCTCAAACGGCGATATGTGAAACTAACAAAACTTCAAATATTATAATATTCGTAGCCGAAGAATAACTGTTTTCAATTAACCCAAGTTTGTTAAAATCGGCTCAGTCGTTTCGAAGATACAGGGTGTTCTTTACGGAAACCTATGAATACCCCCCACCACTTCATTTTTAGATATACAGGAAAAATAGTCAAACAAAAAAGGTTCAGATTATCGTCGTCTTCAAAGACCGGACATTTTTTTTTATGTTAATATAGCGGATTTCACAGAACAATCACTTTTTTAGATTTCAGATTGCAGTTACGCCCCATAGCGGCCATTTCAGAAACTTAAAAATATTTTCCAGGTTTTTCTCGTGGCCGTTTTATTAATAACTTTTTTACCGCAAGCCGTCCAAAAAAACCCGTATTTTATGTGCAAAAATAAATTTATACAAGCAAACAATGTTGAGTCGTTCAATTGCCCCCAAGTTTGTCCTCAACCGGTACCAGGTAGCTTTGTATTAGGCAATAGTACAAAAGCTGTCTGTGATCATCCTCCCAGGAGTAGATGACCGGGGAGGACCTGTCATCGTGAATTAGGCATTCCTATTTCATTTAAAG